TGTTCTGGGCTACTTTAGAGACATGGCGGAGCAACATGGAGATCTCTGTGGATGAGGACTCGCTCCCTATAAATGGCTCATTCTAAGATAACGAAAACACAATGATTCTCATTTTCAGGTGATTATACACTAAAGAAAACATACCTATCATACTCCATTTCTGCTAATGTATCCCCCTAAATCCTACACACAGGACCTTAGATGACTTTAAAGGCCTATTATTTATAAAATTGAATTTAAGACATTTTTAAGGACATGTAAAGACCCTGGTTTCAGCTCTAATCCCTCGTACATGAGAGTCCTCACCGCTGTCACTATAATATCAATATTGTCAATGTTTTTGGAGGACATTTTCATTCCACGGTTTAGACATTCATCACAAAGACGTATGTCCCTGAATGGTGCCCCGTCCCTAAAACAGACACACTTCATTAGGGATGATTGAGCAGCCATAAAGGTAGACATCTGTCATATTCACCCACTGAATCGCCCCCACTGTCCCATTCATCACATCATTACATGAGTAGATGAGGACAGATATAGAAAGAGGCAAGAGATTAAACTGACAGCAAATGTCCGCTGGCACTGACTGATGAGGAGTTATTCCTTTTTGGCTCAAACAGTTTAAATCACTCCATCTTTGCATTACAGATTTGTCCGTCCACTTAAGGTTGAATCATGTGCCGGAACAAGAAAGACAAATGTTGCTTTTCATCTCAGCCTGAGACACAGACGGTGGTGTTGGATTTGAGTGCTTAAAATAAAGGATAAAAGTGTTGAACGCCTAAAAATAAAACAAATCAGGCTGGAATCTCTGCGTGCAATAAGACAGAACATACGCATCTCTTTGTAATCACTTCAGCATTACAAAGCAGCTCTCAAAATGTTCGGTCAGGGAGTTCTCGCCCTCCAGTGATGTCATCCCCCTGTGACAGTCGGGCGCTGAAGCCTCGGCCATCCAGCGACAGGCGACGTCACGTGAAATTTGATTAGGCTGCAGAAAACACAGTGGCATCTATTGAGAAGCCAACAAGGGCAGATTGTTTCCCTGCAGGCATTCTCTAATGATACAGAAAAAGAGATACTGTATCTCCTCGTCCAAACACTTGAGCGCACAACAGAATAAACCTCTCTGGCTTGACTACAGCTTATAGAATATGTATGTGAAGTCAAACACAGAGACTGAAATCCCTTGAAAGAAGAGCAGAGCCCCCTGCTGCAGTGGGTCTGAGATGACCCGCTGTTACATAAGCAGATTGGTGAAGCTCAGATATACCAGCCAGCAGCTCTGTCACTCGCCACAGGGAGCCGGATATCAAAGTCCCCAATGGTTAGTTAGAGCAGCAATTAGTCTGCAGCACAACTATGTGTTCCAGCATGATACAGAGCTCATGCTAAATATACATTCTCTCGCTGTAATTCAAAGGCATGTCTGTTTATCTTTCCCCCGAGGAGCTGCTCTACATGAGCTACTGCGAGGTACATAGGAGAAGGAATACAGGGTGTGACTATTGTCTGCAAACCTGGAAGTGACGTTCAAGCGTTCAAGGTGTTTGGCACACCTGCATGGTTCTTTTTCTCTCACAAAGAGCGAGGCGCTCGCACAGAGCAGACGTCACACAGGGCTACTGGGTGCATCTGTCCTCACCTCACCAAGCTGAGCGTCAACACCTCAGTGTGGGGGAAAAAGCACCACCACCTGATGTCTCTATTTCTAAGAAGATATCCACCACAAATAAACCATCACGAGGCAGCATCACTGCAGCTGTCATCGCCTTGGCAACCCCCACATCCACCTACAAGCACAGCATCCATTTCCTTCCACCTCTGGGTTTTTTCTTCTGGTAACGCTTGGTAAAACAAAAAGTCAAGCTCTGTTTGAGAGCATGAAACCAGCCGCCACAAAGATTATCACCGCTTTTAGATTTGGACAGTGGTGTAATCTGTGTCCTGTGTTAACCATGAACCACTGCCTGGATGCTCCGTCTGTGCTCCAGCGTTATCGGGCAGGATAAGATGCTGTTGTCCTCTCTTTTTTTTTTATTCAACCCTTTCTCTGCGATATTATTTATCCAGGTGTAGCAGGGGATGACTTGCAGAAACCAACAAAGCTATATTCTCATTTGACCTACAGTGCTACGGTCAAAACAATAAACAGAGCTGTGATGTGATTTCTCTAAGCAGAGGTAACACAAAAGGACATGAGTGTAAGGTGACACAGTAGGATATTATTAAAATTCCTGAGTCAAATTGATGGAAAAATTATGACTTTTACATTTTATGTTGTTGTTCATATGTTTAAAACTCAAATATATACATTTTTAAACGTTTAAAAATGCTGCCAAACATGTATAAGCAAAATCTGGTGGTATATGTTTGAAATAGAAATGATAATGGACAAAATGTAGGGTATTTTTCACAGGCGACCGGCAGATATTTTGTTGTCAACAATGCTGTGAAAGGAAGAGGAATGTGGCGTCCAATCAAAACATTAAAGCGGATGTCACCACTGCACACGCAAACAGGCCTACATGGGCTGCAAAATGTTTCTCATGGAGCATGAGTGCATCTATATAGTGTTGATGATTTGTTTGGTTGGTGTTTACCTGCTCCATCGTCCGGCTCCAGGCCCGTGTCCGTGTCCACTCCACACACAACAAAATAGTGGGCGAAGCGGCATGAAGCCGCTCCTGTGTGCGCTGCGGTGCCGTTCATCCTCGACGCGTTTATGGTGTGAGAGCTCCGTTTACTTCTACTTCACGGTGTAGATGTTCATCATAGCTGACGCGGCTGATCCGAAATGGTTTTGACTTCCACCCCCGCTGTCGTCCTTTCTGTTCTGATCCGTGCGCTGGGTGGTGTCGGCCCGCCTGCCTGCTCTGTCTGCTCCGCGCTATGACTCTGATGGAGCTCAGCAGGATCCAGCGATGGTCATCTCGTTTGTTCAGAGGGGGAGGAGGCTGTATGTAGGCCTGGGAGGGAGGAGGGGGAGACAAAGACCTCAACGCATCATCATCATCACTGTTAAATCAGCCTCGTTTTTAAAGGGTGGTGTGGTGTCGAAATTCATCATCCGAGCCCACATCACAAAAATCACGATCTGTCAGAAGGGACTTAGTGTGTTTTTTATCTATCACAATGCATAGTATTTAATCTCATAGATTATATCTTTTTATTTAAAGGTCTTTACAAAATCAAAACATTAAATGAAATACAGTATTAATCCTTACATTTTAATTAAAACGTTAGAAACCACTTTGGAAGATTAAAAACAACCACATTTATACTAGACAGATGCAGTGGTGTCTCCGGAAATTTTTCATAGGGGTGGCCAGATGGGGCCAGTGATAATCATGGGGTGGCACACCAAAACCAACAGCCTTAGCTGAATTTCAAGAATTCTCAAATGCTGTTCAACTAGGCTAGGCTAGTTGCAAATTATCTCAATTAACCATTCATTAAGGTCCGGCCCCAGACACAGACTGGTTAATCATAACATAGCATTGCCGGCTCAGACCAGGGTCCGGCAACAACACAGCTTTGCTCCACTGACTCTAATGCAGTTGTTTCAGATTTCCTTCATTTTCAGGCTGGTTTTGTGGATTTGGAGCTAAATGTTGTGCCTTGGGCACGTTGTGTATTAATGATACTCGTTACCTGGAGAGGTTGGAAAAAGATATACGTTTCCTCCCTGTTCCAAAACCAAAATCAGACCCTGAGAAGTGTAGGGTTAGCTAGCTAGCTACTGAATATATAGCCTACTGAATGTATACACATGCTGCTTTTGCTTTTTAATGATTATAACAGTGAAACAAAGACCAACCCTGCTGTACAGGAACCAGTGAAGGGAAGCAGGGAAACTTTGCTAATATTCAAGTTGTGTGTCATCGCATTGTGCATTGTTTGACTTCCCTTGAAGATCCCTGCCCGTCTTGTGGCGGAGCTCCGGATGCTGGCAGCGGCACCAGGTGAAGCCAAACACAGTTAATCTGCACACACTGCAATGCCACACAGCTGGTTCAATATCGGCAAAGTCTCCCTTTATACTCATTGTCTTCTGTGGCGATCAGCAGTGATGTGGTGGTTCACTTTTACACTGTGATCTGTAGCCTATAGTTCGGCTTTAGCTTCTAACTATCTTTGTCTTTTTAACCTGTTGTTGCTGCTGAGTCAGTTTGACATCCTGGATATATCCTTCAAACACAGACTGTAGACCCCTCTGTCTGCTTCTCTCTGGAATCAGTTTCATTCTTCCAAATTATGATGATATTTCCTCAGGAAGTGCAATTAGTTACAGTGTGGGCACCATACTTACTCTGACAGCTTGCTGGACCATCACAAACGGGCGAGGCTTAGCGAAAGGTCAATATGGAGAGAAAAAGAGGTGCATAGCCTACTGATACTTTGGTGTCGTGTCTTATAGTTAAGCTGGATTGTGGGGGGGGGGGTTCCCTCTCCCAAGCAACACTTTCCAGCACAAAATATGTATTCCTTCCAGCGCGTTCTGGGTCTGTCCCAGGGCCTCGTAGCAGTGGGACGTGCCCTTAACACCTCCAAAGGGAGGTTTCCAGGAGGCATCCTGATCAGATCCCCGTACCACCTCAACTGACCCCTTTCAACACGAAGGAGCAGCAGCTCTATTCTGAGCTCCCTCTGGATGTCTGAGCTCCTCTAGCTATCTCTAAGGCTGAGCCCAGCCACCCAGCGAAGGAAACCCATTTCGGCCGTTTGCATCCACAATCTCATTCTTTTGGTCCCTACTCAGATCTCATGACCATAGGTGAGGGTTGGGACTTTGAGTAAATTGAAAGCTTTGCCTTCTGACTCAGCTCTCTTTTCGCCACAACAGTCCAGCACAGCGCCTGCATCACTGCAGATGCTGCGCCAAACTGCTCCATCCTACCCTCACTCATGAAGGAGACCCCAAGATACTTGAACGCCCTCGCTTGGGGCAGTGAATCATTCCCAAACCAGAGGGGCAATAAGGATGTGGATATCCATTATTTGTCATATAGGGTATTTATTGAACCATTCAAATAGACATAACAAACATGTTTCTCATTTTTATAGGCAAAATGCTGACTAGCTTAATTAAATAAATACCATAATCTAGGTCCCAAGTAAATCAGCCTCCTGCTGTATCTTTTCTGGTAAACCATGTTGCCTGAGAGATATTTAGGATTTGGGTTCAATAAAGTTAGTTTCCAAACATAAAAATGTGCAGCATATCTTCACACCAGGACTGGCTCATGCCATAAAATCCTTGCATTAAAAATCATATTCTGAGATAATCATCACTTTTTTTTTCATGCAATTTAGAGGTATGTGCCCACACCCATCATCCTCTCTGTAAATACTGTTAACAAGTCAGCAGATGGGTCCACAGCTCCGGTCCTCCAGCTAGACAACATATGGGTCTGTCACTTACAGCCTGTCCCATTACAGGAAGTGCATAACTTAATATAACAAGGCTTATATTTAACATTCAATCTCTGTTGTAACTCATATGCATAAATAAAACACAGTAATTGTTAGTACAGACGGCTTTGTCAGAGGTCAACCCTTCATCCATTCATGTTCACACTGTATATCTGTATGATATTTGTGGTAGCTGAAACAATCATAGCAGTCCAGGCTTCCTTTTCCCCTGCAACTTCCTCCAGCTCCTCCTGCGGGGATTTGCAGGTGTTTCTGAGAGATGCAACCTCTCCAGCATATCCTGGATCAACCCTGGGGTTTTCTCACTGGCAGCTGTGTTTGATGCATCTTCAAAAAGTCAGATTTTACCCAGTTTCTGTCCTCATCAGGTGTCCCATCCACCTGTACTTGCTCTTCTTAATGCGGGGGAGGCAGTGTTTCAACTACAAGTTCTTTCCAACACATTGAACTTTGCACACTGTCATGGAGTGTGAGGCCAACCATCCTGTGGGTTGACCTTACTTTGGCTTTTCTAAAGTCATGATGCCCTTATACTCAAATTAATGAAAAGATTTCAAAGAATGATCTTTCAATCCAACATGTCGATAAATGAGAGAGGATTGGAGCTGCTGTGCACCCATTCATTCATGTCTCCAAGGCATGCTAAAGTGTGTGGCCAGAAGCCTCTTCAGTGTCTCTCCAAGCCACAGGAGGGTAGTAAGTTAGGTCGTGCTGCACAGGTCATTCCGACACATTCTCTAGAAAAATTTGGCAGTGGGTTTAGGTTTCGGAAATTTCACCTGGAACATGTCCTCAGAGAAAGTTGGTGAAGTTCTCAGAAGGAAGGGCACTGTGGATCTTCGAAGGAAAACAGTCTCTCGCAATTTTGGTGGCAGGAAAACAATGGAGAGGAGGCCTGTTTTTACACTCCACTGGATGAATGGTTTCTTCCTGCTTCCTCGTTGCTCATTAATAAATTGTGGTGTAAGAAAGGAGAAATCGGGGAGGAGTGGCTGGTGAGGTGGAACAGATCATTTAGTTATGTGTGGTAATAATATTGATTTAGGGAACACTGTAGATATGGAGAGTGTGGGAGTGTGGGAGTGCAAGCTGAGTATCCACAGGAGGCTACGCAGCCTTCTTTTTAATGTCAACAGATTTATAATTGAACTGGATGGGTGATGGGTTGATGGCTTTGGCAAAATGTGTGGAAGCAAAAGCTGTGCATGTATCAAGAGTGCAGAGAGGGAGGTTTAGGTCAAGATGCGAGCCACCTGGGACTGAACCTCCCCGTCAGGGTGTGAAAGCAGCTGGACCAGTCTGCTGTGGAGCTGGGAAGACTCATCTAACATGACCCGGAAGAGACAATCCTGTTTCCGCCTCAGTTCATCAGCCACCTGGGCGGAAGGCCTCCAGGCCTTTAAGTTGCCCATGAACGTCAGCAGTCGCAGAAGCACCGCAGGGGCTGTCCGCGCGTCAAACAGCAGCACAACAGATGCTGGTGCCTATGGCAAAAAGCAGACAAGACCATCATTAAAACTGGGATTTACAATGACATTTAGACCCCTGTCACAACAGTTTGACCATGGCTATATAAAGAGAACTGAATACAGCAGCAAAGGCTCCCATTCATTCCAATGAAAGTTGCTCAGAGCTGTATGATGCCAAAAAAAGCTTGATTTCTGCAGTATGAAATTACCCAGATCTTCCACATTGTGGGGCCAAGAGAGCACAAACACTAGTGACTTACAATGGCTGAACAGCAAACTTCTGCTGGCCAATAGCTAACTTCTGGTTTAGCCTCTGCTAATTTGAATGGGAATTAAAATTATTTAATTTTGCAACATATAGATTCTCAATATGTTATTGGACCAAATGGATCAAATCTCAATAGTGAGACAAGTCATTTTGCGAGGGTTGTAATGCTCAAAAATTGTATCTACTGATTTACAGATGTCTCTTTCCAATGTAAGTCAACTGGAAAAGTCTTTCTAGGTCCTATGGCATCATGTGACGGACCTGGACATTGTAATTTCACATTTGGCCACTATGAAAATTGGCTTTGAAGCCGGGCACTGTTCCTGGGGGCTTAAATTTGACAACTAAAATGTTTGAATTATGCTGCACTCAGGCCCGCTGTCAGGAGGGGTCAAAGGGTACAGATGACCCCAGCCCAAGGCCAAGGCAGGGCCAATGAAAAGGTCTATAGTTGACCCTTAAATGGGATCAAGTTCAACAATTTACTTACCGACTTATATGCCAGACAATACAAGTGCATTTATGTATTTTTATCATTAAAATGTATTTTAACATGTCATCTGATACTCCCACCCCCACAGGTACCGTGAAATGGTGCAGTCCATCTGACATGGGGCAGGTGCAGACTTCAAATAAAAGGAGCAGAGAAGCGATGGCCAACTGCTGGCTGCCCTTCTAAATATTTTAATTAACACAGCACCATGCTAGCTATCTTTTATATTCCCTTTCTTCTTACCTGAGCTTGAACAATGTCGTCCATCATATCTGGATTGGATGACAAATTCACAAGGACTTTCAAAGCTTGAACCTGAGACAGAAATAAATAGAAAACTTTAATTCATACATTCACAGCTCTACCAGGCTTATCTTTTTCCAAGAGCTACAAATTGTCAAATGTGAAGATCAAGCAGGTGCAACCCAAAAAGATAATAACCTGTAATGTTTCATTGCTCACAACAAGTAGAGAGAGTAAAAGTGTAATTGAGTCCTTCAGCAAGTGTTGATGTTTGTCTGTGACTGAGAGGTTTGTCAGCAGCCTGAGAGCACCAAGTTGAAGCTCAGAGTTCACTGGTGACATCTCAATCAACTCCAGCACTTGTGGCACATAAACCTGTAAGACATGGACATGAATATATAACCAAAAAGACCTCATGGCAGCAACAGAATGCATGATATTTGCTGTACAGTATCTGGCAACATACCTTTATTTGTTCCTGGTTTGGGATGTTCATACACAGATTATTTAAAGCATTCAGAGTCTGCACTCTGACCTCTGCTGCAGGATCAGAGAGGAAACCAGCTATGATGTGAATCCCATCAAATTCCCGTATTAGATTCTGGAGGATCAGACCAAAAAAAAAAGAAAAGGAAAAAGAGATACGTAATTTCACAACAGAACTTTTTGTGACATCACTGACAAAACGCAACAGTTACATATGTTTACATGTGGATTATTAGGTTTTTTTAAAATGTATACTTATAGTTTACCGCCTTCTACCATCTCAGGAGTATTTCCAGGATCAGATCACTCCTTTCTAACAAACATCTGAGGACTGTTATCCATGCATTCATAGCCAGTCGATTAAATTATTGCAATGCCTTCCTCTCACAGTACAAATCCTTCTCCTGCCTCAAACTCATCCAAAAAACTGCTGCCAGAATCTTGACTTGGATGAGAAAACATGACCACACCAATCACACCAATCCTGACTTCGCTAAACTTCTTGCACCCTGAGATCCTCAGACGCATCTTTTCCTGCTGTTTCTAGGTCTAGATTAATTCACAAAACTGACAGAGCCTTTGTAGTCAGAGCTGCCTGAGGAGATCAGGGCTGCCAACTCTGTCTCGTCTTATAAATCACTCTTTAAAACCCACTTGTTTAAATTAGCCTTTCAGTGATTTTATCTGCTTTACTATTATGTGTTTTACTGTTTACATGTATTCTGTTTTTATTGCTTTTATTGCTTTTATCTTGTTTTACTTGGTTTGTGTTTTATTCACTTTTGTAACTGTGTTTTGAAAGGAGCTATATAGTTTATTATTATAATTATAACAGTACCTGATTCACAGTAAAGGCAGCAGAATTTCCTAGTGTAAGTAGAATCCGACATTTGTCTGATGGATTACTGCTGGTCTGCAGACATGACAGCAGCATTTTCAAGTGCTGTGGATCCAGGTTGCCAGGGGACTGGTGGATGATGTCACCTATGGATCAAAATAAACCATTTATCCAACATTTATTGAACAAGTGCACTGGAAGAAACTGAGTAGCTGTAGTTATTGTTTACAGCCCAAAACTCCCCAGATTATTATTAAGTCAATGTCTTTCTATCAAAGATGGGACCACATTTTGGGATTGACTGTGCGTGCTTTGCTGCTCATCTTCAGGTTTAGCCGTGTGATTGCTGTGACAGCTTAATGAGCTCTGGTGGTTCTTACCTGATGCAACATCCACAGGTCGGGGACACACAACATCCAGTCCAGACACTCTGGCCAGCAGGGTGCCCGGCTGCAGAGTAACTTCAGTGGGCTGGCTGCTCTTCACACCAGGACTCTCACTGCCAGCACTTTTCTTGTTTCTCTTGAAGCCTCCCCTGCTGATGAGTTTGTATAACCCGTAGGAAGCTCCAGCTCCGGCAACTATCCCAAGCAGCGCTTTCATGTTGCCGATCCTGGGAGTGATACTGCCGTCACCCATGCTGCTGCTTCGTCTTTAGCTAAACCCTGTTAGCTTAGCTAACGTTAAGCTACAGATGCTCTGAAACGTCGGGAGTCTAATCTGTTGACTCACCGGCTAACTGAACCGGCTACTTGGTTAGCTAGCGTCGACGACAACCCATCGAAACCACTACAAAACCCACCCACACTGATGCTGGCAGACACATTGTTCTGGCAACTGGAGAAGTTTGCTGACAAGCCACAGTTGTCAACAATGTCCTGGTCCGTTGTTGCGGGCAGCTTGTGTTGCCAGATTGGTCTGATGAAAAGAAGCCCAATCAGAGTTTAGTCCACGCCCAGCGGTCCTATCACCTCCGGTCCTCTGGTTTTATCACTATCATTCACGATATCATCAAGAAAACTCAAAACCACGGTTACATTAATGATAGCGTTATTTATAATGGAAGTAAGAAATAACACACGTATTTTGGATTATGGTGCAATAAAACGGGTACCACTTATCTTCACAGTACTTTCATCGTGTAGTTTTGACGGAATAATAATTAGAATAAGATCAAAGTATTGATTTAGTTGTAATAAGCACGCCAAGAGGTACAAAAATCTGCCCAAATCATCACAACTCACCCAAGCAATTTTTTATCCGCCCCTTTACTCTAAAGTAACCCAACTGCCCAATCTGGCAACACAGTAAAAGTTAGTGGCCGACCAAAATCTTTCGCTGGGTGATTGGCAAAGAGTTTCTAGCTTCAAGCTCTCATTTTTCAATATATATTTTGAAACTGATTTAGAAAGCGTTAACATGTAATTTATTAATTGAAAAATCTCAATCTGCGTCCGTTGATAATCTACATTATGTTACAGTTCACTCTTGTTGCAGCGCTTTAGTCGTCCAACACTTAGCCAACGTTAGTTAAGTTTTACCTGCTGCGTTACCTGGCAACGTTGAATATCCAAATAGAGATGATGGAGACAGAGTGCCAGGCAAGATCTGCTAAACACTTAGGGAACTAACTAATTAGTAAGATACACGATAACTATTCGACTTCGCAAAATGTGTCAAAGAGAAATGATGGCTTTAGCAAACGCAAAGATTGCTCTTAAAGAGTGCGAACTGAAACACTGCCTGCCACAAATATATAAGGTAAGTTACGTTGCTTAGAAACGTAAGTTAGTTAAGCTAGCAACTTGTAATGTTAACGTTAAGTTGAGAACATGAGCTCAGTTCTTCAGCGTTCAGTCCAGTCCACTTTGACTTCTGCCTATTTATTTGACCATTATAACCACTTTGTATCTTTCATATATGTGAAAAATCATTCCTTTCCTTGTTTTACCTTCTTTGACATTAGGCCGTATTGGCAGCTTCATGCCTGTCGTGTCCCAGTGACCCAATACAGTTTCTGAAAAACACCCTTACAGCCTTCCAGGGACATGATAATCTTCAGGATGTTGACTGGTAGGTAAACCCCCTTACTTGTGACTTTCCTTAAGACGGACACTTGGTGGCTCACTTGCTCAAGTTTTCCTTTACTGCTTAGAGTGAAAGTCATTGTAGTCTACCAGATGTGGAGGAGTGAAGATTTAAAGTCCATGTCAGAGAAAATCTTGTTCTTCCACTTCTCTGATCCCAAAATGTCACTGAGAGGGAAAGCTTATATCAAACAAACTAAACTGAAAGTAGTATTTCTATCACATTGAGTTTCCAGTTGGATCATGTTCTCCTCTGGTTACCTTACTCACCAGTGTCCATTTGCTCCCATTAACAGAGCCCCTTTAAGTACCCATTAGCAGCAATAAGGTACTCTATATGGATGTGCATAGATTTTCTAAACCTTTTACCATTATATTTATGCTTAAAGTGACTTTAAAAATGGACACTCCAGGGGATCCTATGCACCAGTGTCCTCAGCATGTACAGTAAGAGCACTTACAATTACAGCCCTAGTTCATTTTGTGGGACATTTCTGGTGGGGAATAATATATTGTCTTTGTCAGCTTAGGTTTTGTTTGGAACATAATTTTTCAAATTTTGCATTTCAAAGTGTTTAATCTTTAATATCCCTTATTAGACAAGCTTCTTCCACTAGCAACTAATACTCCATCACTATGATACATTACCATTTTTAACAGTTAAGTAGTGTGATGACATTTAAATGTGTTTGTGGGAGCTAAATCATTTAAAACTTCAAATTTGCCCTTGACATTATTTGTTTTGATGTCAACTTATTCTTTTTTGAGGCACAAGTTTCTTGCTGATGCACAGCAGCAACCTGCAACAACCTCTCTGACACGTAGGACTGCGGACAGAGTTCATCTGGACCTAGACGACACTGTCTATACGAATCCAGATGACACCATGGTACAGTATGGTTTGGTAGTGTACATTGCCATTAAAAACAGGTTGAGTCCCAGATTTCTCAGACTCAAATGAAACTGATGAGTGCTTTTTTAGTTGCTGTTCTGTATTCCTTTCTAGACATCCTTTTGTCTGTTCGAGAAGGCCTACTGCTGTTACAGGAAAAATTTAACAAGCTCTTGCTTCAGGTAGGCTGACAGTATCACAGTCAAGATCAACACACAAGGGTTTTATTAATTGATCAAGGATTATTAGAGGGAAAAGAAAGACCGGGACCATTAGACATAAGCTCCATCACCATTCAGGTAGCCTTTTTCACATCTTGTTTGACTGAGGTGCCTCCTAAAAGCACAAAGTGCACTAAGGGAGTTTTAGCTAAATGAGATGAGACCATTTTTCTTAACTATCACCCTACATAGAGATCTGAGAGATATCAAAGTGGGATGCGGGAGCATTTGCTGCTCAAATAGTCATTTGCGACTGAAAATAAAGATCGTCAGCCTAATAACACTGAAATTGTCGATTAGCTTAACCCATGTGACACAAATAAGACAAGGGGGTAAACGACTTTAATAGTAGTTGGAGTGGAATTGTGTAACTGCAGAGACTTCAGTTGAAGATGGCACTAGATCCCAATGGAAACAGAAGAAATGAAAGGATTTTAACTTCAGTTTTCAGTTGTGGGAGCATTAACCAGTCACAATACGAACACTTACCCATATTTACAAAAGGACTTGCTGTCAGCGATTTCACCTACATTTCAAATAACAAAGAAAACAGCAAGCATTAGTTCAACTGTAAGTTTCTTACTGGAACATCTGGCCAATGTCATCTTTGAATTATTTTATTCAAGATCCTGCTGACACAAGTGAAGGACAAATTAAGAACTGCCTGAGAAAGTTTGAGAAATGTTTTAGTCATAATTATACCAATTGATCATGAGCACAACAGTTAAATTCACAAGCAAAATAAGTTTTTACCTACCATTTCCTCTTTCACTTTCTGATCCTCCTTTACTGTTCATAAAATCCTTTTACATTGCGGGATACAGTGTTCTTGTATCCATCCAGCTGATATGGTGCATAATGGGTATTTGATAGAGATACTTTGCTCCTCATGAAGCCGTTTCTGGACTGCACAATGTATGCAGGTGGAGGTGACATGTTAGGGCCTGTTTGAGGAGGAAGCCTCTTTGTGTTGCCACTATTCCTCCAGAAGACACCACTTAAAGTAGAAGCAGAAACCTTGGATGCAGACAGCGGTTTACTCACATAGCCGCCATTTAGAAAAATGCCTCGTCTTCGTGGGGTAAGAAATGAGCCCAGGGGGTTTCTGGCGCCACGTATATCAGAGATTATATTCTTGATTCCAAACTTCCTGGACATGATTTCATTGCCAGCTAATCTTGAAAAGGCTCTGTCTGATGCTGAGGTTGGAGCCGAGTTAGTTATAGTGTTGAAAATTGCATCACCGACCTGAGATGGGATCCCACTCTGGGTTAAACCTGAGCCACTAGAAACAGGAATAAATGTATTGTGAGCCATTTGTTTTGCTCCCTGTGTGGAAGAGACTAGATTCTGCTTCTCATCTTTTGTACGGGTATTTAGCATGAATGGGCGACTAACATTGACTGTCTGGTCTCTGAGATAGCTGTTGTTGCCGCTCGAGCCTTGAAGAGAGCTGGGGGGCTTCACAGGGTGAAATCTGACTGGCTTTTTCCTGTTGAACACTTGGTCCTGAGCATCATGTGGGCTACTTGTTTGAACTCCCACATGACCACTGCTACTCTGTGATGAAGGATCATCAGAGCTTGAAGAAACAGAACCAGTAAATGCAGGCAGGTGGGCGGTGGGAGTGTAGTTTTTATCCTTTGGTTTCTTGCCAACAGTGGGTTGATATGCCTGAAATGAAAAGGCTGGTCTATCCCTATGTTTTGGTTGATATTCTGGGATGTAGTGTTGACGTCTTGGTGCACTGACATATACACTGTTGCCATAGGAAGATGGAGGCATTGGTGCAGACAGGACACTGCCTTGCTCTTCATTTTGGAAATCTTTCCCAAGCTCAGAGCCACTAGATGGTTTCTGATACCCTGTTGAAGAGTCTTCACTGTGAGATGTATATTCTGGTTGTTGGATATTCTTTTCAGTGGTTAGGGGAGTTATGTTGAAATCTTGAGAGGGGCTGTTTGGAGGGTTGACAGGGAATGCAGTCACATGGCTACTGAAAGACAAATCTTCCCCAAAGAATGAGCCAGAGGGGCTTTGTTCAGGGAGCATGTAGCTTGTTGACTGGAAATCTTCATTTCGCACATGAGGAGCACTTGTGAAAACATCAGGGTTTTCCCCAGAAGTGCCAGCAGCGTCAAAACTTCCATAATTACTCAAAACATGCTCTGTGGCTGCTAAATGATGGTGTGGGTAGAGAGCAGAGCCCAGGCCTGAGTCCTGGTTGTCATAAACACTGGTAGAAATGAGACTTTCAGTGGAGTAGACAGGATCAGGGACAGAGAGGCTTTCACTTGGAATTTGGTAGTTGGCTTCTTGTTCACTTTGTTCAAACGCTGCATTCATAGGTTCACTCCAGAATTCATTTTCTCGTGCGTCATCATAGGCAGTGCCTTCTTTTGCAGAATTAGACCTATAGCTTGTGTCAGGCTCTTTCTCAGTATTTTCAGCATTAGAAGCAATCTCGTTTTCCATCATTTGCCGTGCGGTTTGAAAGTGACTGCTCATGTCACTTCCTGGTCGTAAGAAGGAGCTTTTCATTGTTTCTACAAACCGTTTGAACTCTCTGATTGTTGGGAAACTGATTCCCTCCGCGGTTGTCTCTTGTGTGTGCTCCTTCACTAAAAGGCCGAAGGGGTTTTGATAACCAGAACTTTCATGCTCATATTTCTGCACGGAGGGATTGGACGGGACATCATGTTCTGAGTCTTGTCTGCTTTGCTCCCTCTCTTCACTGAGGCTACTAACAGAGCCAGCATCCGCATTGTTTTCATGATAGACTGGTTCTCTCTGGAGGGAAACAAAGCTTTGGTCTCTCATAGCTTGGATCTCATCCTTTGGACTAAAGGAGTCTTGGTTTGTGTTTAAAGATGCTCCAGAATGAAACTGGTTTGATGTTTGGGGACCAAGCACGCCTGCATGGCTAGTGAATGCATCATCATGGAGAGAGTAGCCATGTACACGATTGTAACCTATATAATAAACAGGAAAAAATAAACATTAAAGCTGTAGTTGGTAACTTCACATNCAAAGCCAGTGTGATGCAGGGACATTGTTGCAGCTCTGTGGCGGGATGTCAGTGTAAAAAGGGCTACAGACGTGGGTGGGTCATTTCTGAATCACACAAGGTCCCCTGGTAATACTAGTGCTGTATGACTAGGGTTTACAACAATGAGTGTGCTTCATGGACATGTTGGTTGTGTATACCAACATGTCCGCGTGAGCCTGCACATACATGAATACAGAGTTTTAAAATTGCCCACACGAGTATCGTAAAGGCAAGTGCAAAAGTCTCTTGCATGTGTCTAAACTTTTGTAGAGGCAACCCATCGCACGCACACACACACACACACACACACACACACACACACACACAGTGGCTACAGTGACAGTTTCAGCAAATATGATGACATAATTTCCATAAAAAGGTATCAACTGTGGCTTTAACATTACATTTAATTCATATTTTTCATAGTAACCTAGTCAGGAGTAATATAGAAATTATATTCTTACCGTTTTGAGGAAGAAAACAAATGAAGCCCCATGACAGCAGAGTGCAAAGCCAAGAAACCCTGAAAAACAATTAAGTTAGAAAGAAAAAAAGTAACACAGGCCAAAATTAACCACAAACACACTTGAAATTTTTTGGTTTACCCAAATGGAAGAGCCATGGCGAGTAAGTTCAACCACAGCGTCCACGTACAGCAGCGACAGCAGCAGACTGTTGATTAAAACTACCAGGCCAGATAACAATCAATCATGCTCCATCCTCTCTTTCTCCTTAAAGTTTGAGAAGCAAGGGATGATAGGAGGTGGGCAGGGAAGGGTACTGAAACTTTTCAGATTCGGCTAACACTGATTGTAATTAGGTGATTGTAGACAGCTGGTGCTGTGTGGAAAATCAGCCAAATTAGACAAGCACAGGTGGAGCCTTTATTCAAAGGGCTGCATGGTGATGGCTCAGATATCACTAAAAAGCAATGTAGAAATTCCTCTGGAAGAGTATAGCTTTAAAACATCTGCTGCCTTCCTCTTCATGTCCCCTTGTGAAGCCATGTGTCTTGAATGTACACAGCTAATAAGGGGACACATTCAAATAATCTTTCACACAAAAAGTTAAAGCCTCTGAAATAAGAGATAATGTAGCTCAAAGCTGAAATTTGATCCATGTGAATGAAAGTCCTGAATGTTTTCTCTGGGTCATTGTCAACAAGTTGCTGAGTTCATGAGGATATTCTGTTTCACAGATTACCTTTCACCTGTCTGTTAGCAGTGCAGACTTCACCATTACTGACCTTTTGTCCAGTCAGTCACTCTGTCCTGTTTGAATGTCAAAACCAGCTTCAGTTCAGATCTTCATTAGAAAAAACTTACTGAGATGAAATTATAATATTCATTGTTAATGACTCCTGTCCTGTTGAGTTAATGCAGCTTTCAGACACTCTGCCTGCGCACCTTTCCACTGAATTAATGATGAGCTGTGTTTGCTGTTGGGGACAGGAAGTGGAAGAGGTTCACCATACAGAGTAAGAGAGATGCCATAGAGCTGTTGGTGAAGATGAACATGGCAAAGAAGCACTATGACAGGAAATGCCAGCAGGTTGCATTCACCAAATGGACAAAGCGTGTGGAATTACACAAGAAGAAAAAGGCTGGTGAGTCGTTAATTAAATAATTCTGAATCTGATCACGAGGAGTTTTGACTGTTTTGGCCAGCTGTGACCCTCTTGTACATAGCCAGAGAAAACATGCTGTGTGGTGAAGAAATGTGTCCAAGTCTTTCCTGACAGTCTGCCCCACTGTATACACCCACTGGTGTGACTCATTTTGTCCTCTGCACTTTTCACTCTGAGACCTGACTCTACTTAAATGAGCTAAATTTGTCTTGAGATCCAGGACAGTCCAACTTAGTGATCGTAATATTATTGCCATAATTTAGCCCACATGTTGTCCTCGTCTAAGAAAAGTGTTCCACATTTGAAAGAAGATTTACATTTCATTTCAACTTAGTTGCCATGGAGAAACTCGAGAGACTTGTGAACGCTGGTCGCCTCAAGCGCATCATAGCTGCATGGCGTAATGTTGTGAAGGACTCAAAGAGGACAAAAGAGTACTTTAAGGTAACATTTATTTAGGCTTTAAGTGTAATGATTAATGAATTGTAGCTAGTTTCTTCATTCTTGATCTTGTGATTGTGTGAGTTTCGCAGAGGTTGGAAATGGAGCTCGGCAACAAAGTCCAAAATATCAGGGAAGGATGTGACAGCCTCTCTGTGCTCCCTAACAACCTCTCACTAAAGGTAGTTCCTCTTAAACGACACTGCACTCATGTGTCACTCATTCCTATGACACACTAGAAGACCTCGAAAAGACTTTCAAAGTCTGACACCCTCTCATGTCTAAAGACAATCTGAGATTTTCGTGACATATTATATCATTTTGCAAAGAATAGAGGGCCCCTATTTGCAGGGACTACAACTAGATTCCTTTTGAGATGATTTCCTATCTTGCTCTTGGTGGAGAAGATTACGCCAAACTTCCTTTAAGAAATATGAAATATTAACAATTCCTTACCTGGCTGCAGAAACACATAACTTTAGAAATATTAAAAGGGTCATGTGTCAACAATATTCTTGTCAATTCTGCATCAGTGTGATACATTAAACTGTATTTGCGCACAAACTTTACATTTTTGATTTTGTCGCCTCAACTTGCTACCAGCCTCGGTTGGTTACCTGCACTATTTTAGTGGGAGGAAACCATGACAATAAGAGGCAAAGCATTCCAAATTTTTAGATTCTCACTAAAATAAGTGCTGCTTGGTGGATCAGATGCACGCCCAATTAAACACCGATTGTTGTCCACCTCACAACTCCACCAGTTTCCCCTCCTTTTCCACAATCCAAGAAAACAGAAACTTGGTCACATTCTTGAGGCTTGCCGGAGTTCCCATCATGTTTATGGTCTGCCCGGTTTGCTGCTTTATGGTTGGTGCTGGAGAGATTGCACTTGCACTTGCACTTCAGTATTTGCATGAGCCAAGACTAAAAACGTATATGTTAACATGTTGGATTTTATCGGAATGTTGAGACCAAACGATAAAGATCTTAGGAGCATGCCAAATGAGGTACAACTCTCATGATTTTATTCTGACATAGAGTGATGCAGGAATGAGTCCTAAAACCTGGAAATGATTTAGCATTTTATTGTTCCCGGTTTCCTCATGTTAAAGCATGTCATCACAGCGAGCAAAGGTTTACAGTCTTGTTATGGTGGCAACGTTAAGTGATGCAACTGTAGTGTGCTTTGTCATTAGCCTAATGTTCGCTTTTTACTACTGGTGAGTGCATTTAGGCTTCAAAAATCATAAAAGTGGTCTAGAAAATCACACTTCAAAGAACAAGATAGGTGTGTGCTCGAGGACCGTCTTTATCATGTGATACTCAAGAAAACACGCTGACAGATGCATTTTAAATAAGTTAAAAAGCCTTTATTTCAAAACAAGACTGCTTACATGAAAACACCAACCGGTTTCAACCCTGACGAACACCTTAGGGTCTGAAGTTCATTTTTTCTTCCCATCATAAAAGTCGTGTTCATTTGTAAGGATTATCTTGCTCAACAAAATGTTTCTTTGCCATGGAGCTTATTTTCCGCAGTGATCCAAAATCCAGTGGAAAAATCCTATTGGCTTAATGTCAAGGGTACCAGGGCGAAGCTAACTTCCACATTGGCCTACAAACAACATAATTCCTGCAGCACTCTATTTGTCTGACAGTGAAATCTTTGAAAAAGACCTTTGGTGTACGGCTGGCTTCAGCCACACAAAGAGATGATGGCTCTGGATTTAAAGCTGTAGCAGCTTCACATCTCTGTTCTCTAAGCAGCCATTGATGAGATCATATCTGTTACATAAGACTTAAAGTGGCCTCCACTGTAAACATGCCTCTAGTCTCTTTGAGGCCAGTTGATTAATGTCAGTTGCAGGTCATTATGGTCTAGTATACCGATTAGCCATTACCACAGAAAGGCTTGTGCTTATGAGACACTTCTTTAATCTGTTGCTGTTTAGGTTTTTTTTGCATATCAATAATAATATTCTTGTAGTTATATAATTATAGCCGTGCTTTCATACCAGTGGCTCTGTAGTTTATAAATATGTTAAAACCCCCAGTAAACATCATTTTGGCTCAGCTTGCACTTTACCAGACATAGCCTCTTGTAGCCTCCGTTTGTTTTGGAGTGCACTTTTGGCTTTGTTTGCTCTGGTGTTTCTGTCCAACACCTCGTCCAATAAATAGGGCTTCAGCATGTCTATGTTTGGAGAAAGCAAGAAGCTGCTTGCACACTGACATCATGCTGCCTTGCAAAGCGGCAGAGGCAGAGGTGGCAGTGAATCTTGCCTGCTCTGATTTTGTCTCTTAACTGTCCCCATGACATTGCCCAAACATTTCCGAAATAAAAACAATAGCTGATTATGTGAGATTAAAATATCGAATCCCGTCATTAGAAAGGAATTTGCTTTGTTGCTCTGATTTTTGGATTACTTTCTTAGAACATCTAGCATAGAGAGGGGTGTGCTTAAAGGTCCAGTATGTAAGGTTTAGGGTGATATATTGGCAGACATGGTATATAGTATTCATAACTATGTTTTCATTAGTTTATAATCACCTGCAAATAAGAATTGTTGTGTTTTCATTACCTTAGAATGAGCTGTTTATACCTACATATGGAGCAGATTGTTGTTTCTACAGTAGCCCAGAATGGACAAACCAAACACTGGCTCTACGTAGATAGGGCCATTCAGGTTTTCACATTTCTGTGTTTTTGCATCAGCCACTGTGGTTCTTCATGCATGGCCCATGGAAAAAGTTTCAGTTGGTTGCAATCTGCAACTTCACCACTAGATATCACTATATCCTACACACTATGCCTTTAAATATTTGTCTTTTCACTTTTATTTGCAAAACACCAAACATGTTTCACCAACATTTATGTTTAAGAACATGTACAAACCTTTTCTCCAGCATATTTGCCTTTATGACAAGAACAGTGTATGCGTCTGCTTTTCATTGTTAAAAGCCGCAGGCACTGAATACATGGTCAGCTGTTCTCCCTTCCAAAACAAAACTTCCCTTCACTTCCAAACTTAAATTCATTTATTTAATGAACTCAAACAAGTTCCAAATATTGGTCTAAATAAACTTTATAAAGAAACAAAACGAAAAAATCCATTTATGTCATTAAGAAAGAGTGAAACAGTGGTCGAAGACTGTATCGTTACCACGGCTTCAGCTGCTCAACATTTACTGAAACCTGCCTCAAAAGCTCCAGATGGGGCTGTACATGACAATAAACATTTATCCGTTCCAACAAATACAACCCAAAGCTATAATGAACAAATTTGTATTAAACTTAGTTTGAATACCAAAAAATATGCTCAAAATATGTGACATATAAGCAAAGTTAAACTTTTTCTTTTAGCGGCTATCGAAGTATCGAAGAGCACATTAAATGTTATTGTGGAAAAAATGAATGCCTTACAGTACTCAGATATTTGTGAAATAAATAGAAAGGAAATTCATATTCGTCCACCTTTCAAAATGATCAAATATGTCACTTTTTTTTTTTTTTTTTTATTTGCAGATCTTTAGGTATTTAGAGTTGCGAGACTGGCTAAAATGTGCTGAGGTGTGTTGCACGTGGAAAGAGATCATCCAGTCAGGCGCACTGTGGAGTCAGGTCTGTACTGGGAGATTGCTTCTTGTATTTTATACGCAGTCTTGTTTAAAGTTACACTTGAAACAGTAGTATTAACGTTCCCCAACATGTGTGTTCCTGTCAGATCAACTTCTCTGTAGAGAAAGACTGGATAACAGATGGCACAATGAAGCAGATTCTGCAGAACTACCGCCCATTTGTCATCCATCTCAACCTGCGTGGCTGCACATCCCTACAATGGCCCAGCTTGAAATGTATCAGTGAGTAATGCATATTCTGATGCCAGATTTTTTTGTGTGTGTTTCATGTGCTTTACCCATGTTTCACTTAGGTGTGTGTTGGTGCATACAACTCATGCTCCTACAGTAATAATTAATCAACACCATCGATAAGTTGATATTTTTTATAATTTGAAAAACATAAAAAAGACAAACATTAAAGCAACATTGAAAAATTTAGTTTCTCCGTCTGATACAGACGGGTTTATGGTACTGAACGTAAATCAAGATGGGAAAAAAAAGAGCTTATTCAAAGTCAGATTTTTCGGTCAGATTTTCACTTGAGTCAGGACAGCCTGATGATCTGGTATTTCTGCGGCGCTCTCAAGTGGCTCGGCTCCAGCTCCTCCTCCAGCTCACCCTGCACTTCCATTGGCGTGTTCCACAGTTCAGGGTCTGTTTGGTCTTGATCTGTTCTGCTGTACTGTCTGTCCTTTGGACACTCTCTGTTGTAGGAACGCACGTACTCCGCCACACTCTCGCCAGTATGTTCAGGAGGGGAGCGACAGAACAGGCCAGAGTGCCTCACCCCTGGGTGCAGATGCAGCCAGTACACCATGTAGTGGATGCTGGAACAAAAATGCACTCAGTTTTTAATAATCATTTGCATTTGCCTAAAAACAAAAATGATATTTGAGTCGAAGAACTCACCTATAGTCACACACCCAGGGGTTTCCTCCCAGTTTTAGCTGTGACAGGAAGTAAAGGTCTTCCAGAACCCCGTACTGGATAAAATGCAGGCTGTTTTCGGACAGGTCCAGCTCACGAAGGTGCAGGAGCCCAAACAGGGAGGCTAAGAAAAAGAGCGCATCCATTTACATCTTGCTTTTATCAGTGTAGTTACATTTAGACCGACCTGTTACTGTTTATTATTTACCAAGGTAAAAGCCACGTATGTAATCAAACTCTGACAGGAATGTGTGGGCTTGTGATCAGTTTGTATCTGAATAACTTAAGAAGAGTGATCACTTTATGTCTGTAAGCCTCTCAGCTTTCCCCAGTATAAATAAATCCAATACTGTATACACAAAGATGGCAGAGTGCCCACTGTCTCCTTAAAGGAAATATGGGAAACAGAAGTCTGCAGCAGTTGTATAACATATTCTCAACCTTTTGGCCTTCCATATGCTATCCATCAGCTGAAGAAAAACACAACTCTGTTTGTGTAGATTTTTATACTGGATATTACAGGAAATATGAAGCGCACACTGTCATATTTGCCGGTTATGACTTATAAGTATGCAGAAATAATAGCATACATACCTGTGTCGATGCGCTCCATGTTGTTGTGACTGATGTTCAGGGTTCTGAGGCTCCTCGCTCCCTGGAATTCTCTGGCTTTGAGATGACGGATCAAATTATGGGACAGATCAATATGAACGACATCCTCTGGAATACCTGTGGGCACCTCAGTTAGACCTAAACATAGAGGGGAGCAGTTACTTAAAGGGTTACTCAAAAGATTTTCATTATTTTACCTCTGCCAAAAAATATAACTGTGCTTCATTTATATGTTCAGTATTTTTTAATTGATTAGAATGATCCATCCATTTTTTTAAAGTAAAGACTGCACTGGGAAATCATCTGAGAACTGCAGTGAAAATTTGGCACATGGACTCTATCCATAACTGAATGTGATACTAAAATCTAGGCCTCCTGCCAGTGCGAGACAGATAGTAGTAACACATAATTTGATTTACTCTATTCTTAGGGCAACTTTAAAATGTTTTGCAGGTTTTCCAAAGGACTTATTCTGATGTATGGGCCAAACGTTGTTTAGCTAATGCTGTGCAAGTTGTTCATAATGTGACAAATGACTATCAAGTGGAATCAGTCAGAGGCAGAGGAAGCAACACAACCTTCAAAAGAAAACACCTGCTAAACCGATGTTTCTCTTTGCCAGTTCTACGTCTGGCCCCCAAAAATTCTCTGAGAAATGGAAGTTTAGTCATTCCAGTCATGCAACAGTAATGTTTAATCATGAACATACGGGCTCTATGACATAAAGCGTTAGAGGTATTTTTCCTAACCCCACTGTTGCATAAGAAACATGTGTGCAGAATTTTCAAAAACACAGTGAGGCTCAGAGTAAGGCTCCCTAGTTTTGCAACTCAAGGCTCACGTCTAATTGTCAAAGAATTCACCAGGACCACTGTCCCAAATAAATTAAAAAAAACATGACAAGCAAATGTAGAAAAAATAAACAGGGCTGTAAATATGTGTCACTGTCAGCTGTTAATAGTGTTAGGACCTTCTCTGATGTGCCTGAAGCTCGTCCTTTTTCCTGAGGAAATATTTGTTTTGGCTTGCCAACACATCCCAGGTTTTACTTACTTGTTTACTTTTTTATTTTTCTATTTTAAAAAGCACAATGTACGTTAATCAACATTCAAACAAATGTTAATGCCCCAGAGTTAGCTAAAAGGCTTGTTTTTTATTAGCAGTCCCTTTGCCTGATGTCACTGGGCATCCAAGAATAATAAAAATAATACAATGTACAATAGTTAAAAACACACAATAATGTGCTTTGTGTTTAAGTGTCTGTGGAGCTTCAATGGTTTTAGCGCCTCATTTCACAGGATTTAGATGCATTCAACACACTGCTTTCGGCTTTTATTGGCACAGAGTTGTCTCCCACATCACTTTTTTGTTTCAAAAACTGATCCATTTTGTGTCACTACATCCCAGGGAACGTTAGCTAGCTAAAAGTGGCAAAACCAAGTGATGACCTCTGGGGCTGAAAAGTTGAGCCAACGCGGAAGTGCGGAAAACTACAGTTCCTCGAATGGCCACTTGAGGCTGGCTCCAGAAGTGAGTCAATCCTCATAGACCCCCATGTTCAAATGCCCAACTTAACAAACATGTTTACAGCCTGATACAAAAAACAGTATTGGTATTTGTTGCTAATTTCAACATTCATGACAACTGTGCAGGGGGTGAATTTTTATATAACTTGTCCATTTACATTTTATTAAGGCTCAAATTTAAGCATAATTAAGAGCGGGCCACTTTGAGTGACAGGCTGTCTGCAAGGTCTGCGTAAGATCCACCCCTCACTCTTCCAAAGCTCCATCCCCACATCTGATCATGGTCACTTCTGGCTACTTCTGGCTGAAATGCCAACTTGAGGCTTCAAAACAGCAGTCCACAAACCAGTGGATGATGTTAGGTAACGTTAGGTAGGTAGAGGTAGCTACATCCATTATGTGATTGGCATGATGGTATTCAAATGTAACTGGTCACTGAAATTACGCATTTTAGTTTGACTGTTTTTTATTTATGTGAAGCCTTGATCACATTTAGATATGAAAATTACTCATTTTGTAAATTTAAAAAAAAAAAAAAAATAATAATTATTATTTAATCCAATCTTCAAGGCCCACTGGTTGAGAACTGCTGCTGTAGGGTACATTAAATCAAACTCATTTAGGATAAAGTTGATCGGGAACTTGCCTCGTTTACTGCAGTCCATCCGTACTTGGGGGAAAAGGTAGGTATGGCAAGCTGTGGTGGCGTCTGGTTTTGTACGGATTGGAATGGGGTCTAGAGGGCCTGCAGGATCTGTTTGGTCACCCTGTGGGTCACCAGTTGGGTCTGATTCCTTACAGAGTAACTCAGGGTCAATCTGCTTCAACTTCATGCTTTTTAGCCTCGGGGGCTCTGCACACCTACAAGAGGAGACACTGTTAAGTCATGCTAAAATCGGAGTTGATATTTGGAGGCTGTTTGTTATCCTGAGAATCAGTAATGACTCCTACACCTGTGGAATCAGAGCAGTATATCGAGGTATATCAAGCTGTTTTTGTGGTGTCACTCACCTGGCGTGATTTCCCAGATTACGGTTGCTTGGGACCTGAATGGTGCGCACGAGACTGTCCAGCGGGCAGAGACATTTCCAGGGGTTATCATATAGACGAAGGTAGCGAAGGTTTGGCATGGGGATGAGGGCCTCCTCACTTAGTGTCCCCAGGCGGTTGTGCTGAAGCAGCAGGGTTGTAAGGCGTGTCAGGCCCACGAAGGCCCCCTCCTCCACCAAAGATATCTGGTTCTGCTGCAGGTCGAGACTGGTTAAACTCTCAAATCCAAAGAAGGCCCCATCACGAAGGACTTTGATCCGGTTGCGTGCTAGAAGGAGGTGCTTTGGTTGTTTTGACCAGGTCTGTGAGGTGGGAACAGAGCTGAGACGCCTGTCCTGACAGTCTACGAAGACGTCTCCAGATTCTGTCGACTCTAAGCACTTCGGTGACACAAGCCTGGAGGGGCCAGATCTGCTGTGACGCCCACCACTTCTTACCCTGACAGTTTTCAAACACATATCAGAGGAATTGATGGCTCGTCAGAGTCTACATGTGGTCATTAGTGAAGGTGAAAAATGGACTGAACAATTAAGACCCAAGAGTAAATCCATACCTGTCCCGTGTGAGTTTGTGTCTGGCTCCTCTGAGGCCTCTGCCCTTCCCTGGCTTTTTCATCTCCGTTGACGGGAGCAGGACAAGGAGCAGGGAGGCTAGGAGGAGAAAGGAGGTCACACGCATCTTGTTCCTTGCAGGGACTTTCTTTTCAATAAGAAGAGCTGGAGAAAAAAACAGGATTTTTGGATGAAAGTCTTACAAAAACAGGCTTGGAAACAGAAGCAGTGGGTCAAAGGTTAACAGTGTTATTGTTGATGGAACACAGCTGCTGCTTACCCTGAGGAAGAAATAAGAGATAGCACATTATGTAAGAGATAAGAGTCATCCAGGAATGTATATACAGCTTTGAAAGAAGGCAGAATACTTTTGATGCTCATGTTCTTCCCTATATGCTGTTGTATATTACTAAATTTCTAACAAGGGTTTTTTTTTTGTTTTTTTTTTAAATGTGGACAACATAGTTTGACTAGCATTTTTTTCTGCTCTTAACTTGTTTTCCCTGAATTGTGTTTTCTTAGGTGAATGCAGAAATCTCCAGGACCTCAATTTGTCAGAGTGTTATAATGTTACAGTAAGTAAAACATGGTAAAGAAGTATTTCACTGCTAATAAGATGGTCTGTTCACAAAATTTGGCTGTGTATGCAGCAGAAAGATGCACATACTTTTGAAATTGATGCTACATGACAGAGAAAACACAGTTAAAGGGCTGTGGCTTTTTTTTTGCTCAAGAGGTAAAAAAACTTACAACTACCAGAATGCACTGCGCCACACTGGACCAGTAAACGCTCCCACTGGTGGGTGATGTAATGCAGTTTGCTTGTCCGGAAAAAATGGCGACCAGCTGGCAACAACTGACCTCGTATTATAGTTAAACAGTGCACTACACTATGTTTCTGAAGACATTTTAGACGAGAAACAGGCAACACAGTAACATAATCTTGGTTTAAATTTGATCAGCACTGCCCCAAGTTTTACTGTTTGATTTGAGTTTGGCCTGAGTTTGAGAGCGGGGGAGGCTGGGGTCTCTCTCGATCCACTTCTATACTCTTTTTGTCTGTGGTGGCAGGCATACGAAAATCAAGGCTATTCAAAGAAGACTGGCACACTCTCTTTGACCCCATGGGAGGTTCCCTCAGGTGGTCTTTGGGTGCACCCTTTAGCCTCCTTGGGTGCACTTGGCCTGACAGTACGAGAGCCTTTGTGTATGTTTTTTTTTATTAAGGACCTTTTCAGTAATTGCAGAATTGTATTTCTCACCCTTCATCGTTTTGTATAAAATATATCCTGACTCAAGGCTGACTGTGGACGCCCCAGTGAAACAAATCAGTTACCCCCTTGTTCTGTGTTAGTGCACCAGCTATTTTGGCAGGTGCAGACCAGATTTCACTGCGCATGTGTTGTACCCCAATGTTATGACGTGACATGACGCTGTGACTTCCCCTCTTTTTAACCTCCTTGACATAAATGTGAAATTACAATCAGAATTTCAAGCAATGGCCCTAGAGCCAGCAAAAATCGACTGGGTGATACAAAACACGGAATCTGGCGGATTTTTGGTTGCAAATGCGCAGGGAGTTATGGGCACTGGTAAGATGGAGAGTGAAATTTACCACAGTTAATTTACACATTCTACCCACATTGTTATGATACAAAGCTGGCTGAAAATCAGCGAAGACTAATGATAATGTACAGATAGCAAAAACCTAAATCTACAAGAAAATGTACCATCTTCATATCATATGTAGAACCTACTTTTTGCACAATTTTCTAAAGTTAAATGACAACTCGTCTTTTATTAAATCAACGAAAATGTTTGAAAAATAGTTTTTTTTTTACTGTTTTATGCATTGCAATCTTACATAATATGTATTCAATTTCATGTAAGCGGAGTGGGTCATTTTTTCCTGAAGCATTGTTGGCTGTGATATTTCACTGTGCCATACACTCTAGTAACAGGTGCCACACAGAGAAAACATAGGGTAACATTTAAATCTCTGCTCTTTAACAGGATGCGGTGGTCCAGAGGATTGTCGAGGGCTGTCCCTGCCTGCTCTACTTGAACCTTTCTTGCACACTTATAACAAACAAAACTCTAAGAGAACTGTCCAGGTAAACCTCCAGTTGTGGTAAAACTGGCATGTCACTAGATTTGTGCTCTAAACTTCAGTCTGTCTCACTCACATTTCTAAATTTAACAAACACCTCCCCGTACTAATACTATACTCCTTTCTGGCATCCTGCCCCTTGGTTCCCAGAATTAGCTCCATGTCTGTTTGTCCAATGGGCCTCTGGCTTGTATTTCATGTCTCAGAGCAGCGTGGTCAGTGCCAACCTAATGATTTAGAGGAGCAGATGTGGCACTAATAACATTATGTCAAGACTATGCAGTTGATGATAGATTTACAGTCTCAACAGCTTGTAAGCTCTCTACGTCATGTGTAGTAGTATTATGCAAACATGTTTTGGAAATATTTCCATTTTACTATGCAAGAATTTGAAAATATCTCATTGTAATTCACAATATGATGTTGCTGTTTTTGATGATGAGTGTGTATTCAAATTTACACTTTTGCATATATAACAAAACAATTTTCAAAAGATTAAGCACAAACAAGTTGTCCTTCATTTTATATACAAACTAATCAAACTATTGATTTCAAACAGAAACTGTGTCAACCTTCAGTACCTGAGTGTGGCCTACTGCTACAGATTCACAGATAAAGGGTTTATGTACCTGACCACAGGGAAGGGCTGCCACAATCTCATCCACCTCAACCTGTCCGGCTGCACTCAGGTAAGCTGGTATCCTCTCAGTTTGGTATTTATTCACTCCACTCAGCTACAGTTGTAAACAGGACAGATTTTTGCCTTTTTAAAGTTCAGCATCCAGTCCACCTTGGGTAATTCCAGTCAGTCCTCTGTTTCCACGTGTCTCCGCTTGTTTCTTGCTGTACTCTGAGGACTATTTGCACTCAGTCAGCGCTCAGAGCGAATGAACAAAGATCTGAAGGAGAGGGGAGAGTAAAAGGCAGCTGTGGCCAACAAGAGGGTTGGGTTTATACAGTCACCTCTGGCCCACCCACTCACCATGTGCACTTCTCCATAACATAACACACATGCACCGCAACATAAAAACGCACTTCTCCTCTGGGAATGTGCATTAATTTGGGTCCAGATGTTTTGCTTTAGAGGGCCATGAAAATGTGAGCAGCAAGGAAAACTGCTTCCAGGAGAATGATTCAGATTTCGACGTACACACATATTTTCCTCTCTCTGCTCCCAGATGACTGTAAATGGGTTCAGATACATTTCTGCAGGATGCCCTTCACTCAGGGAGATTGTGATCAATGACATGCCCACACTGTCAGACAGCTGTGTGTTGGTAAGTTTGTTCATTTCTAACACATCACAGGTTTCATACATGGGTCAGAGCCCCAGCTCTGGAATGTTCTACAGCAACTCAGACAATAAGGAATGAATTAGCAAAGAATTTGCTTTGTCAACTCGTGCATATTGGATTTGTCCACACCCTTAAGCCCTCACAGTAGAAATAGGTTTGAGTCTTACTCTTCTTTAACAGGCACTAATTGCCAGATGTCGCTGTCTGTCTGCCATCTCTTTGCTGGATGCTCCTCATCTTTCCGATGTTGCCTTAAAAGCCATCGCTGAAGTCGCCAAGCTGAAGACTTTCAGGACAGAGGGTGAGATCATTGTGCAGTCTGCAACATTCATTTCCACATATACATGAAAAGATAGAGGGGAGCAGGAAATCCTCACATCTGGGAGTCTAGGACCAGAAAAATGTTTGGCATTTTTTCCTGAAAAATGAACAATTTATCACTTATCAAAACTGTTTTGCTGAATAACTCATTGTTTTAGGACTCATAATAAATGATAATAGCAGATTGTAAGTTGAAGATTTACTATGCTGGGTTTTCCTGAGAACAAAATGTATAGACTCGCACAGAATGAATCCCTCTCGATCATCACTTATGACCCACTAGATGTGTGTGGTGGTGTGTATTTCTGCAGAGACCCTGCCCTCTGCCTGTATTCTCTTATTTTCTTCTTATTGTCTGTGTTCGGGTTGTTTATGGGCGTGTACCCCCACACCGCTCAGGTGAGGTCGGGACTTAATAAAATGGCAGCAACCAGGTGCCAGAACATAAGCAGCAGACATCTAAGAGACACAGCTCTGGGAAAACACAAATACAGTGATGCAAAACGAGAGTGAATCTGGGATTGGCTTTTCCTTTCACTTCAGTCAGCACTCAGATGTTTCGTACACGCCGCCCTCCCCAGTCCAGAGAATCTGGTCCAGCACATTCCACCATTTCTCATCTCTGTCTCATTTCCTTGTGTGGCCCTTTTAACTATTCCAGTTATTCTGTCTGCACTACACCCCATGTGCACTTTAGGTAACAACCAACTAACTGACGTCGGCTGGAAGGCCCTGTGCAGCAGCTCACATGGCCTCTGCAGACTCCACGCTGCAGAATGCTCCAGAATGACAGATGCCAGCCTTAAATCCATGGCCAACCTCAAGAACCTGCAGCACTTGGACATCTCACTTTGTGACAAGTCTGTGTGTTTGTTGCTGCCGTAGTTTTAGATTCATGATAGTGCATTATGTAATGGGTTTACTGGTTGTATTTCAGGGTGAGCGATACTGGGATCCAGTATCTGACTGAAGGTTACTCATCCGCCAAACTGAGAGAGCTGAATGTCAGTTACTGCAGTCACATCACTGACATGTCTGTCATGAGGATCGCACAAAGGTATAGTATGACTTCCAAAGCGCGCGCACAAACACACACACGCACACACACACACACACACAGGGTTATATGACGTACTTATCCATAGTCAGTATATACATAGAGTAGATGGTGGTCTGCACGCTCCCAGAATAATAATAAGAATAATTTTTTGACATTGATCTCAGCCTGTGAACTCATGAACCTCATACTACCCCACCTCAAAAAATACTAACTATCCCTTTAAAAAGTCTCACACAGCAACTTTTTTTGTGTCATGTATGTGCACAATTTATCAGGTTGTGTAAACTGTGCCATCTTAACTTGAGTTATTGTGAGAGACTGACTGATATGAGTCTGGAGTGGCTGAGTGGCAGCTCTATCTGCTCCCTTGACATCAGCGGTTGCAACATCCAGGATCAGGTATTGTTTGTTCACAACCTCACAAATTTCTGAAAAAAGATAACTGGCCCTGACAGGGAATATTTTGTAACGTGATATTTGTGTTTTTAGGGGCTGGCGGCTTTTGAGGGAACATGCTTGAGGAAGTTAGCACTGGCTGAGTGTGTCTGCGTCACAGATATTGGCATAGAGGTACAAATCTAGCTAGAATTTCGACACATGTCCAGATGTGGCATCTGTAAAGATCAGTTTACAATTTTTTTGTGGGTCCAAGTTTACTTCCTTTTCTAGTGTATCCTAACATCAGCAGCTGACAGGAAATGAACGTGTACCCAAACTGTTTCCCAGAAAAACAATCCCAAAAAAAGTCAATCATGTTCACAGTTGTTGTGTCGCTTACTGATTACTAACAGATGTGAACACAAGACGGCATGTATGTCTTTCTGTGTCTTCTCCTCATTCATTTTATCATCAGTTCACATTTCATCCCACATCTTTCTCTCGTCTCTCTCGTTCCTCACGAGTACAGAAGCTGTGCAAGAACGCGAGAGACCTGGAACATGTTGACGTGTCTCACTGCGTCGCTCTGTCAGACCCGGCCATCAGAGCGATTTCATTTTACTGTCGAGGTCTAATCACACTGCGGATGTCAGGTTGTCCCAAGGTATACACACACACATACACATATACACACTTCTCTAAAGCATGAATTTTCATTTCATGCCAAATGTTTTCTATTTTCTTCTGTCCTGCCTCAGATGACAGACATGGCAGTGCAGTATCTGACAACTGGATCTCCCTACCTGCGAGAACTTGATGTGAGTGGCTGTGTTCTTCTCACAGATCGCAGTCTCCGACACTTAGAGAGGATCTGTCCTCCACTCTGCTCCATCACCATGGCCTGCTGCAGCAGCATCTCCAAGTGAGACACAGTTAAGAATAATGCTGCAAAGTTAGAGTCCTGTGTGATAGCATTTAATGACCAGGGAGTGTTTGATCCTGTAGGGTGGCTGCCTTGAAGCTCCAGCCACGTGTAGAGCACTGGGAGCACAGCAACGATGACCCTCCGTACTGGTTTGGATACAACATGGGCCAAGTAGTGTATCCAATCGCAAGACCCATCAAGACTGATGACACCTGTGAAGTACTGGAGCATCACTCAGTGACGACAAGAGCAGCAAGTACAGAGAGGATATAAACAGATCTAGTGATACTGTAACAAAAAAAGAGCTTAAAGTAGTAAGAGCAGCATTTTTGGGATATTATTTAAAAACATATTAAAAGTATTTCCTTTACCAAGACATTTTGCATGATACACTTGACATGACAAAGACTCACTTGTCTTGACAGAGACATTCCACTGTTTCAGCTCCTCACTAACACTTTATATTTAATCAGCTCCTGACAGTGGATTGTTCTGTGCCGTTTCCTTCTGCATAAATTAGGGATGCGCAGATTAGGAAATTCTGGGCCGATGCCAATACCAATGTTTAAAGTAAAAATTTGGCCAGTAGCTGATATTGTTTTGTTGTTGTTTTTTTTGTTTTTGTTGGTACTTATTCCCTCTTTTGTGACATGGAAATAACAATATCTACATCATAAAAAATAACAACTGTTTTAAAGTCATTCAGACCTTCATAACACTACCTTTAAATGAGCACAAATCCAATCAAACACATTTATTTAACAACCTTTAAGATAACCATCTTTGACATGAAAAACATGTTTATTAAAAAAAATAACTGCTTAAAAAGTCTTTTAACTAGCCTAGTGGATACAAGCAGCCGAAATGAGTTTCCTCCATGGGGTGGCTGGGCTCAGCCTTAGAGATAGGGTAAGGAGCTCTGACATCTGGAGTGAGCTCGGAGTAGAGCCGCTGCTTCTTCACGTTGAAAGGGGTCAGTTGAGGTGGTTCAGGCATCTGATCAGGATGCCTCCTGGGCATGTCCCACTGTTAGGAGGCCCCAGGGCAGACCCAGAACACACTGAAGGGATTACACATCTGGCCTGGGAACGCCTCGGGGTCACCCAGGAGGAGCTGGAAAGTGTTCCTGGAGAGAGGGACGTCTGCGGTGCTTTGCTTGGCCTGCTGCCCCCGCAACCCGGCCCCAGATAAGCTGATGAAAATGGATGGATGGATAATTAATTCCTTCCCTTATATCTATTTTTTATTGCTGTGAAAACATCAACAAATTTCTTCTTCAAACAACTGTATTTGTTCAAGTTTCTCACCAATAACCACATTTTACAAGTTTACACCAAACACATCATCAGAACGTTGTAATTTACCTCACTTAGCTGTTACATTTGAGTTACATATATGCAATAAACTCACTTTCACTAGCTGATGCCTACCACTAATTATTTAGTGAACAAATCACTGTGAAGATACAAATATTAGCTGTGCATCTGAAGTACTAAAACATAACCATTATTTAAAAAAATGTTATAGTGTTTATGTACATGGATGTACAAAGCACTTTAAATTTGAACTCTCAGATGTCACCATTTCTGATTTATAAGCTTGATAAAATTTATTACATTTATTTGTTTTTTAATGTCTACATTTTGTGTTTAACATTGGTGTGTCTATGCAGTGTCTGTACACTTGGTGTTTGTCTTTTAAATATTTTTATCTGTTCTCTTTAAATTAAAACGCTGAATTCTTTCAATACTACACCCTTTGTTTATATTAGTCTTTGTAATTGCATTTCACCTGGTTTTACTTAATCTGAAGTCATTATAATGTGTGTATTTGTTTTATGCTGGACCTAAATTGTTGATACTAAAAGCATAACCAGGGAGAAACAGACTCTTTCTGCTTTACGCTTCAGTGATGTGAGGCTTATTAGTGAAAACAAGTTCAGCTCTTGTACAGTTTTGTTGCTCATTTGGGGCAAAGATATGAAGGTCTTTTGGAATATACAAAGAAGGTTTAGAAAAATGTGTTATAATTTATCAATTCTCAGTGCTTAGATTGAAATGTCTTAGTTGTTCTCTTTCATTAAAGGTATACTATGCAGGATTTTCCTAAAGACAATGTATGTTTATGGGTGTGTGGCCCCACAGCGCTCAGGTGAGACACAGCTTTATAAAAAAGTAGTGACCAGCTATCAGAGCATAAACAGCAGGCATCCAGGAGTGCTGGGAAAAAAAAAAATATATATAGCGAGGCAAAAGGCTGGGATTGGCTTTTATTTTTACTTTTGCTGGGGAGCACAATCCTGCATAGTATACCTTTAGTTAGAGCTGGATAAAATCAGTCAAATTCAGACTTTGATTCAGATTTTGTGATTTGTAACTATAATTAAATTTGAGGTGAAGTGACTGAACTTACCTCTAAATGGAAAAAAAAAACACTTGCCAAGCTTTGGTCACAGTTTTAAGACGTACAATATATTTTATAGTATTTACATACCACACAGAGGGCATTCAGTCGCTGGCAATATCTCACATCACAAGTAAACATACAGAAATATGAGCAAGCAAACAGTTTCTCATTAACGTCCAAACTGCTGACAGTTCAGCACAAACCACAGAATTGAGGTCACGGCTCAGCTCCCCAGCTTCAGGGACTCAAACCAGCTTTGTGTCTTCAGTCTGACGGAGTTTCTGTCTGCCTGAGCTCTAACCCACTGCTCCACTGGGGACTCTGCATTTATACAGCCTGAGAGAAAAACAGCAGGCGAAATGAGAGAAATACAGGCATGTAGAAAGAAAACAAAACGTTCTGTGTTGATTTACTTGTTGAAGGATTTAGTTAATTAACTATGGAGTTTGATGTCATGAAACATTATGGCTTACCGGTAACTGTGGTTTGGCTTTCAGTCGAGTTGTTTTCTACTCCATGCAGAACAACCTCTGGGCTGATATCCACAGACGCTCCACGGAGCTCCACCCCTGCTTTCAACGAGGAGGGGACACGCACACACACCGCTCCTGCATACAACAGAAGGACGAGGGATAAACAAAGAATATGACTCAACAGGAAGAAAAACTGTGATTCATACGGTGAATAATCTTCTAATATTGTGTGTTTACCTTCCTCACTGTGGAGTTCGGCACTGCCACCATCTCCCACATAGACATCAATGGCTCCGCTGTGAGAGGAGACCTTTAGCAAACTATTTGAACCATCTGCAAATCAAGGCAAATCCCAGTGTTTTGTTTTTTTACAGCTACTGATAGAAACCATACGTTAATCACTGTGCAATCAGAGGGTCAGCATGCTCACCAATAACTGTATCTCCAGACACGTTCTTCACTGTGGCGTTACCTTTGAATCAATGAAAGCAAAAGGTCAGTTTTAACTAATATAACTAGCTGTCAGGTTATTTTCACTCACTAGCAGGTAAATTAAAACATTCAAAGCTCCAAGTGGAAAATTTGGCAAAGACAAACCCCCTATATCACATACTGTACAGATTATAAACCTGGATCACCAAAGATAACAACATAATTGTTTCCATATATTCTATGACAAGAGGCTTGTCTGTATCAGGAAGAAATTAAAATTCTACATGTATGATGCATTCCCTTCTCCTCACTTCCCATCACAGTGCAGTTAGTGATAAAATCTCTGCCTTCAAGACTTAGTAAAAACTAACCCCTGTTATACTTGCTCCAAAACAAACAAGGACAGAATTTGAGATAAATTGCAACCACATTGTGTTTAAATAGACTTAGTTCAGATCTGAGCCCAGAAATCATGACCTACCAATGCCCTGCTTTACAAACCAAGGTAACATAATGCAGCTGTGTGCCACAATGAGTCATCAGCAGTGGAGGTGTTTATTCTTTAATTAGGACCTACTGGCAGACTGAACTAATAGATACAGGTGGCAGATTAATGAAATGTTTCAGTTAATTTTAAAGGTCCACTGTGTAGCATTTAGGGGAGTATATTGGCAGAAATTGAATTTAATAAACATGTTTTCTTTAGTTTATAATCACCTGAAAATAAGAATCTGTGTGTTTGTGTCACCTTAGAATGAACCACTTATACCTACATTAGGAGCAGGTCTTCTTCCAATAAATCCTTCATTTTGCACCACCATGTTTCTACAGTAGCCCACAACAGACAAACTAAACACTGGCTCTAGGTAGGGTCATTTGTGTTACAGAAGTTATAGCAGCCTCTCTGCAATGAGCCAAACACCGTTGGAAAAACACTGATTTTTAACGTGAAACTGCTTCATCATCATCACTTGCTTTTTTACCTGTTTTAATCACCAGTGGTCTCATTTATAAAACAATATGTAGGATCCATACTAAAAATGTACATACGGGCAAAAGCCAAAAACAAAGTAGCGTACGCCTCTTTCAGGCCTCACTTTGTGCTTACACAGTGTTTATAAATGAGACCCTTGGTCTGTTTGTTTTGGAGAGGATGATACTTCTGTTCGATTTGGCTCCTTCTAAAAACCTCCTGAACAATGAACACTGAAGGAATCCTGACTGGAAGTTCACACTTGGCACACAGGAGAAGTTTCAGCTGGTTGCACCCTGCAGTCATCATCCTTAGATGCCACTAAATCCTACACACTACTAGACCTTTAAGTGAAGGCCGCAGTATCTCAGATGAGTATAAAGGGATCGCCTATTAACCATAGGGTTTGTGGCTCTTCCTGTCAACATGCTGAAGTGTTCTTACACAAGATGATGAACCCCAAATCGATGAAAACAATATGTTGTTTCAGACTTAAGTGTTTTTCTTCACTCTACATTTGAGTTTGGCTGCAGTACTAATAAACACAAAAACAATGTCAATGACGAATAGATGCTGCTGTTTTCTCACCGTGTACGTGCCCCAGTTCTATTCTCCCAGAGTTGGAGGAGATGCAGGTGGACTCTGCGTAGGTGGCTTTGACCTTCAGAGGGCCACGTTCTGTTGAAACCTTCATTGTGGTGCCCTGAAGCTTCTTGACATCCACTCCCTGCAAAACAAACAACTAATTACTGCACAGGTCTGACGCCAGGTGATGTATGAGCTCAGTGTCTGTTTTGTCTCTAAATCAGAGGTAAACCTCAAGGCTGTAAACACGTTCACATACAGCCTGTACTCAGGCTGCTGCTGCCCCCTAATGACTGCTGAGAGTACTGTCTTACACTGTCTCCACTTGTGCTGATGTCCACATTGCCATGGATAGTGCCCACACCTGTAACGTGTCCTCCATGTGACTGGACCTCCACCTGATGACCCTGTGATACAACAAACAGTGAAATGTCAGTCTGAAACTACTGATGAAGCCTCTTTAATGAGTCTGAACACATCATCAACTCTGCACCAACAGTGTAGTGCAGGGGTAAGCAACCTGTGGCTCTTTAGGTCCTCTCCAGTAGCCACAGGGGTGGCTTTGACAAAAAACTACAAAAAAATGACTAATGGTTCTTGTTTTTTTTTTTAACACTTTGATTTTCATTTCTCAATATTGGAGGCCTAAAGAAATTCTTACATTCTCCAACTGTAAAAATGTGAAGCCTATATACTGAAGAACAAGAAGTTTAACATTTCAACAGCTAAAATGTGCATAATACATCTACTTCCTGGCATCTAAATATATATATATATATATATATATATGCTCATTTAGACTATTAGTATGGGCTAATTTTGACTTAATGGGCTATGCTACCTTCATTTTAATGCTCAAATATGATTTGCAGCTCCATGCAGATTTTATTTTATTATTTTTGGTCAAAAATAGCTCTTTTGATAAGAAAAGTTGCCAACCCCTGGTCTCGTGGGTTGGTTAATTGTAACAAGTACTTTTAGGTGTAGTTGTGGACTGCTGGTAGCTTTTTTAGGTTGCAAAGTATGAGTTTGCAGAACTCATTAAAAC